ATGTTATTAAACATCCCTTCCTCCTTTTACTTTATCACCTAACTAACCCACTGTTGCCTGAATCCTTTCTGTATACTTTCCTCTTCTACTTTCACCTCTGTCTCTCCCTCTATATTCACAAACCTACATTGATAAACATACACAAAAAGAGACGTGTAAACATGTGTATATGCGATTCAAGATTTGATCTCATTTTATGACAGTGCATTCGTCTTCATCTCTCCCATCCAATAGTGCTAATCACTATCAAGGATAAAGCTAAAAAAATAAACCTCCCTATATTGAGGATTATGTATGTAGTGCAAAAGACAAATTTTCTTGTGAAATAAGGCAAATAATTATCTCCTTTCTTAATGAAATAGCAATAGTAAGAAGTTTTCAATTGTTGTGCATGTTGTTTGAAGTTGAAACATTCAACTTTATTTCTGTTTGTCTGTCTTTAAGCAATAGTTGTTTTAACTATTCATTATTTCTTTGAAAGTATTGAAATCTATGATTGGACACTAGTAACTAGTGCGATGTATCTGGCTAGTCCTTTGTTTGGTGCAGACTCAATTCTTTCAGTCAGCTTTGCAATGCTGCCACCAATTTAGGTAGCTCGCCATCCCGGTGAACATTTATTTGATGACATTAGATGGTTGGAAGCAGTCGGCCACAGGAAGCCTTGCATGGACTTAGATTTCGTGCTAGTTGGCACTCACCAGTCTGCAAGGCGTATCTGCAACTTTGAAGGAACTCATGTCCCTTCTGAGATTCGAATCCGCGTCACCCAGTGAGTGTTGAAGTCAGAGACGTTACCACTGAGCTATTCGGACTCGCGATTGACCTCCTGTAGGACTGCAGTGCAAACCTGACTTATAGAATTCAGTCTGAACTGAAGAAAGGACTAGACATATCGTACTAGTTACTAGTGCCCAGTCAAAGTATCCAATGCAGTTTTACAGGAAGTCAATCGCGAACCCGAATGGCTCAGTGGTAGCATCTCCAACTGCAGTGGTCACTGGGTGACGCGGGTTCGAATCTGTTCAGAAGGTAAATGAGTTCCTTCAAGTTTGCAGATACGCCTTGTTGACTGATGAGTGCCAACTAGCACGAAACCTAGGTCCATGCAAGGCTTCCTGTGGCCGATTGCCTCCAACCATCTAATATCATCAAAGTAATGAAATCTTTCACCTATCTGAAATATGAGTATTACGAGGGCAAGTCAGTCAGTTCCTTCTTTTTCTTCTAATCCTTTCAGTTTTACTTTTGATAATGAGTATCGGATTATACAGCTCATATAACGCTGCATGTTCACTCGAACACATCTAGTTGATCAAGTAAGCTGAATACAGAAGTTAGACACTTAAGGGAAGTAAATGTCGGTATAAGATTTATATCCTTTGTCTCATTTGAAAGGACAGAAACCCACAGAACACTAATATGAACAGAATGAAAGGTTATACTTTCCCCCAAAGTTTCATCACACTACTTTTCAACGTATTGTTTAATAAAACGTCTAAATAAAAGTTGTATTGATTTGGGATTTTGGGATTTTCTTTATCGGTGAGCTGTTCGCTTCTTTATATTTGATTTATCTATTGAAAGAGGAACCTCTCCTTGGTTGGAGCTAATGGATTCTAGTTTGGTCATTTCACGAACACGGAGTATAGATTACATACATATAAACATTTAGAAAGCAATATTCAACGAAGCGACTCTACTCAACGAATTTATTATCAAGCTGTACAATCGTATATATGCATGGTTTTTAAGAAATTATATCCTGTGGGGGAATTAGATCAAAGGTGTGAATACATAATAGTATGAAATGCAATTAAAATATCTGTGATCATAAACATAGTTAAATGTCAAGTGGCAAAACAATTAATGTCATATATAGAATAATACATAAGGTGTATAGATGTTAGAAAAGGGTACATAATTATAGGATTAGTAGGCGAATACAAAATGTTACATAATATGGTGTGAAATTTGATAAGATAGAATTCAATATCGCAAAAACAATTTTCGATTTAGAATGACAAGTGGAACAAGTGGAAACAGTTCAGAGTGAGAATAGTATATAATAATTAATAATAATCGTAGTAATGAGGGAAAAGTACATAGAACAACTAAATTAACAAAATAAATAAATAATGTCTATCCCTCTACGGCCAAGGCAGATAGACTGTACAACTTCTTTTGTACATCTAGTTTTCTTTATTCCTTTACGTTCCCAGTGGAACATAGGGTGGCTTCAAGCTAGAGACTTGAAGTTTCGGTAACAGTGGTGTTTATTTTTACAGGATGGGGTTGCAAGCCTCATGCCCAACCTTCCCTCTTTACCAGTCTTGTTAGTGGCTTAGCGAGATGAAGGAGTGCGTCAGTGGCCGGGAATCGAACCCCGGGCCACATGCGTGGTCGGCGAACATTCTACCGCTGTAGCGCCCACGCACCTTTGTGCATCTATACACATTATAAATTATTCTGTAAATGACATTAATTGTTTTGTTACTTGACATTTAACTATGCTTATGATCACAGATATTTTAAATGCATTTCATACTATTATTATTTCATATATTCACACCTTTGATCTAATTTCCCCAAAGGATATAATTTCTTAAAAACAATGCATATAGACAGCTTGATAATAAATTCGTTGAATAGAGTCGTTTCGTTGAATACTGTTTTCTAAATGCTACAGTGGGAATTATTAAATTATATGAACATTTTCCTCTAGAATTAGAATATGGGTACACTTCGAATAAGAATTAGTATTGACAGAGGACATTACAATCACTGATAAAAAAATCCCCATTAGTACTTTTAAAGATTTATAGAGTTTTGGTAAAAACGATATAAAGAAGTGATGTTCTGTGCTTCCAGTCTGCTAAAAACTGTACACAACATCTGTACGACAACGGCACATGTCAAGTGATCCACAATGGAAAACTCAACGAGGCGTTTAGAGTAAACACAGGAGTCAGACAAGGGTGCTTATTATCACCAATGATATTCCTAATTGTGGTGGACTGGATTATGCGTCAGACAGTGGGAAACGAGAAGACAGGGGTATCCTGGACCGACGTGAAGAACCTAGAAGACCTGGATTTCGGGGATGATTTATGTTTGATGTCACACAAAATCGAAGACCTACAAGCGAAAACCGACAAACTGGTCGAAGAAGCAGGCAGTGAAGACAGGACTCCAGGTGAACATAGACAAGACAGAGGTTATGAAAATAACCAACCAACAACAACAACAGCAGCAACATCCAACGCCAATCACCATCAACGGGATGGATTTGAAAGAGGTTACTTCATTCACCTATCTAGCGAGCATTCTCTCAACTACAGGAGGAACGGACGAGGATGTCAAATCGAGAATCGGGAAGGCGAGAAACACATTCATCAACCTGAAACCAATCTGGAAATCTTCGTCACTCAACATCAACAACAAAATTCGGATTTTCAATACAAACGTCAAGTCAGTCAGTTCTTCTATACGGATCAGAAACTTGGCGGGTCACAGAGAATATTTCCAACAGCTGTCTTCGTTCTATACTGAAGATCAGATGGCCGGAAAGAATCACCAACAAGAAACTATGGGAACAAACAAAACAAGAACCAATCGCCCAACAAATATGCAGGAGAAATTGGAGATGGATTGGACACTCGCTGAGGAGGCCGTTGGGTGACATCGCGCGTCAGGCCAATGCTGGAGTGGAACCCGAAAGGGAAGCGACGAGTGGGATGTCCAAGGGTGACATGGAGGAGATCGTGTGAAGAGGAGCTGAAACAGTATGGACTAACATGGATGCAAGTGAAAAGTACAGCAGAAGACAGAAACAAGTGGAGACGTGCAGCTGAAGCCCTATGTTCCACTAGGAACCCAAGGGAACAATAATAATAATACATCTGTCCTAAGACTTGATTTTTAGAAAAGAACTAGAGGAGACTTAAAGGAACTGTGAAAACGGAATACAAGAGTTACACAAGTTTCCTAATGCAAACACCTTGATTAATACAGGAGACTATTCATCCAAGATGTTTTACTTCTATAAATAAACCTTAATAGGCCATAAGTTCAGGAGGGTGTAGGGGGTTGTGCTTGAGACTGCCCTACTAATTTACTTCAAAACACGATAAGCCAAAGGGTTATACACAAAACAAAACGACCAAACTTTAGAAGTATGAGAAGAAGAAACCTGACACCTCTTCACTATCCGCCCACTTCAGAACAAGTGTTTGAATGCATCTGACTTGGTGAGGCTTTTTCACAATGACAGGTAGAGTGCTCTTATTTTACGATAGTAGTAACTACCATTCATTAGAAATAGTTCCAATACGTTATGATTAGGTATCCAAACATGTCTTCAATCAGTTATACTGGAACTTTGCCAGCTGTCAACCATTTGTTGATTTCAACCTATTTCTTCATTGAAACCATCTAGTAAGGTTGTCATAAGAAGGCTGATATTCAAATATGAAGGCGATAACGCATTTTATTACGTTTCAAACTAGAAGTCTTCAGGGTTTTCGATTACTGTTTCGCTTACGAAAATGAGACACTAAAGAGCTAACTAGATATCATACCTACCAAGGAATTACTTAATAAGGAATTACCACTTTTAAATGTGTGTCGGCGGCACAACGGTTATGCCTTTCACCAACCATGCACATGGTCCAGGGTTCCATCCCCTGCCAACGCACACCTGATATCATCAGTCAGCCTGCAAAATATGGGCTACCGATATCACATACTGAAAATTTCATACCTGTACCAAAAGTACTGTGTGAAATCAAACTATAATCAAAAAAATTTTAAAAAATTAATTATCTCTCTGTTAAATAATTCCCTTCTCGCCAAGTCTCTGTATGACTGCACTCAAAAAGCTTATGCATCTAGAAGTTTTTCAAATTAGAGCCAACTAGGTTCATGTATCTTTTTATCCTGATGAACAAAATCACAGTGACAAAGGGAAATTATTAATAATGGTTTTACTTCCTTTTCAGGTCTCAACTCTATTACGACATCCAAGTTTGAAAACTTCAATTCAGCTAAGCATTGTTGACATTATATTGCTGGACCCTAATTATGCGGTAAGTATATAAAATTTTATATTCTCAACGTGTCTTTTAGTGTGCATTAACCAGTACCTTATAAGCCGAAATTCTTAACCAGAGAAAATTTACAGTTTATTCCTGAAATCTTATATTATTTAAGTGTAAAAATCAAGAAGGTTATAACAGCTCGCTGTGAGAAATACAAGCGCTTTCATGGGTATTTCGCACTGAAGTTTAGGCTAAAACATTTGTAGACGCTATTTGCAAGCCACAGAGAATTTTGAACAATTTATTGGATTTGAGAATACAGCCACGATATTACATACCCACATTTTGATCACTTAGTAAGTACCTTTATTTTTCTACCTCTTTTATAAACAAGCAAGCATAAATTTCACTGTCACATCCACAGAACAGAAGTTCAACAGGAAAAGTGGGTAAAAAGCATAACACAAGGAAGGATGATATGATACAAATGACTACGTAAATTGAATGAAGCCTAAATTGTAAGCTTGAAACCCTGGAATCCATCATCACTATTCCAGCCGATATATTTTCATTTGAAAAAAACAAGCGAACTCACATTTTGATCTGTTGGTTTTGAGGAACTCTGAAGTATTTCTGAAACTAAATATATCCCGAGCAGTTCTCCTGATCTCGGAAAAAACGTTAAGACTTAGAGAACCGTTTGTTTCAGTTGGGCTTTCCATTTAACCGAGAAGTCTGATAAGACAAGGCATAACTGAGTAAATTCAACGTATTATATTCTGCGGAAAGTTAGTCAACCTAGTGGTTTAATCAGGCTGCTAGCGTATGAACAAAGCATACACTCTTATTTCATTCAGTGATCGATTCTAGACCAGCTATGTAGTCAGCAACTTCAAAAGATGCGTTGGTGGCACAGAGATAGGATGCTTGCCGACCACGCAGGTGGTCCGGGGTTCGATCCAAGGCCGACGCAATCATTTACCTCTCTAAGCCAGTAATAAGGCTGATAAAGAGGGAAGGTTGGGCATGAGGTTGTAAGCCCATCCCGTAAAAATAAGCACGACTGCTACAGAAATTTCAGGCCTCTAGCTTGAAGCGCTATGTTCCACTGGGAACGTGAAGGAATGAAAAAATCTTCAAGAGATGACTGCTTTCTTCTCACACAGGTCATCAGTGATTCTAGAGTTAACATACATTTTTTGATCTGATTGGTATTAGATGAAAAGTTGTGATTCCTCTCACCAGTGAGTGTCAAAAAAGCTGATAAAGTTGGATTGTATTCATATGAACGACATTTTGCTGTCGTTGAAGATATTGAAGGCTAATTTATAATCACTCCCCTGATTTTCAACATCTATATGATCCAAAATCATAAGCCTGCGACCACCAAAGTACTTGTCAACTTTGTCTTAAAATAATGAACGAGAATAAAAAGCTTTATCAAGAGTTCAAGATCCTTTACTGTTTCATTAGAATTTTGTTAAATAAACCCTTTAAAAAGGATTTAGTCAACGTTTTTTTTTCTTTGTCTAATAATCTGTACCTTTTTTCAAAATCATAATTTTAGCGTAGACATAATCTTGAAGATTGGTTAAACAGTAAACAGGAACAAGTTATGGCCAGATTCTGTAAATGGGTCAATCGACTAAGACGTCCAAATTTTACTTGGGACTCAGCTATTTTATTAAATGTCGGGTAAGTGGTGTACAGTTTTCAGGGGATACACTTCGATTTTATTTATATTATTTTTAAAAGCTACCGTAAAATGGTTCAATAGTTAGTGTATGAATATTAATCCCCAATAATTTTTTAATATTATTTAGTTATAGCTATGTACTGTTAATATGGATAAAGGAGATTACTAGGGATGTTAAAGCGTATCCCTAAATTTATCATTTTAAGTGAACAAGTCTAGCTAGTTTGTAGCAGTAAATACTCTTTGAAAGTCGTATCTAGGCAACAGGCTTCAGAGTTATACACTTGAAACTACATCTTCGTTTTTTCTTGGTAGGATATGCGGCTAACTGCGTCAGAAATTCTTAGTCTTTACTAATATCCTAGTGCCGGTCAGTCAAACTGGAGAGATTGGGCAATATTCCATATCATCGCCAGGAATTACCTGTGCTGCACTGTCAAATGTAATGAAAAAACGAATATTGTTTGCATGCAAATATTCTGATTGGACACTAGTTAGTAACTAGTGTAGTGTGTCTAGTCCTTTGTTTTTTGGTGCAGACTGAATTCTGTCAGTCAAGTTCGCAATGTGGCCACCAGTCTAGTTGGTTCGCAATCACCGTGCACTTTGAGTTGTTGATATTAGATGGTTTAAGGCAATCAACAGGAAGCCTTGGACCTAGGTTTCGTGCTTGTCTGCACTCCGTAGCAAGGTATATCTGTGACTTTGAAGGAACTCATGTTTCTTCTGGGATTCGAACCCACGTCACCCAGTGTTGCAGTTGGAGACGTTACAACCCAGCTGTTGGGGCTCACGGCTGACTTTCTGCCTCCAGCCATCTAATATCAATAATTCAAAGTGCACTAAGATTGCGAGAATAGTTGTCACGCTGCACACCTAACTGATAGAATTCAGTATGCACTAAAAAAAAGAACTACACACATTTTAATAGATACTAACTAGTGTCCAGTCAAAGTGTCCAATACAGTCCTACAGGAGGTCAAATGAAAGCCTGAATAGCTCAGTGTTAACGTCTCTGACTTCAGCAATAGGTGACGCCAGTTTGGATCTCAGAATGGACATGAGTTTCTTCAGGGCTGCAGGCACGCCTTGATGACAAGTGATAACTAGCACCAACTAATAGGCTTCTTTCCGATTACCTGAAACCACCTAAGATGCAAATATTTGCTGATGAAAATCAAGAACTAGTCTGTCGAATCGAAACTATTTTCATAAGAATTTATAAGAGAAATACAAATCGTAATGGAAAAGGCAATTGCATAATAGTTATTGGGCGACTGGAAGCCACTTCACTGTTTCTATAGAATTAAAACATTCATATATTCTATTTTAGATTCACAATAACGCCGAAATTTAGACGTTTAAGTTATTCGGTGGAGATATTCGCAGTCTCCTCTCAGATAAAACAGTGCAACAGCTGATTCTGACAAAAATAAAACACGCAGACGAAGTCAATCAAAATGCCCAAATACAGAACTCCCCTAAGCTTAAAATGACATCATCCTGAAAGACATTTGAGATAAATTTCAGCTAGCATGCTTCATGCAGCACTTCAGGATTATGCACTGCGATACGACAAACTGACAGTTTTAAAATTTAATAAAGATAAGTGGAGATGGTTATTGAAACTCTAATTATTGCGTTGTCATAATTTTTGTCTAACGAGGTGAAATTTATGTACAGGTGGATGTTTTACAGAAATTTTATTACCAAAACAAAAGAAAGCCTTCCGAAACCTCGATCTATTAAAATGAATTTTGTCAACTGCATATTAAATGATGTCTAAGTTGAAATGAACTGTCGTCAAGATTTGACAGAATAGTTGTAAAATATTTGGGCACCGAGTGAGAAGTAGACATTTGTAAAAAATTATATTTGTAAAATCTCAGCGAGATTGAAATGAGTAATTCCAACGTTTCGTTCGGCAACCTGGTCCGAACTTCTTCAGGGAAATTAATCGAAATTAACATAACATAGGTTTATATATAAAAAGGAACATCACTTGATTTTGAGAATTTGTCCAATCATGAGTCATTCGAAAAGTACCAACAAGTATAATAAACAAAATTTTATGAGCTGTGATCAAAATTTGACCTCGGACTTACAAATAAAATTCTTGATACTAACAGTTTGAACGGACATGAAGGCGTGATGTTAGCTGATGCATAGGAAATCCTTATTAATAAATAAAAATGGATATGCATCACTAATTATTAATACTTGGTCAAAATTCTCGACTGTCCATATCTTCTTATGGAAACGTTAAGAAATGTTTTACAACTGTTTACCCACACACACATACACACTCTGTTTAAAGTGTTTAACAAAGGTAGACCAATATTTGTAAGTCCGAGGTCAAATTTTGATCACAGCTCATAAAATTTTGTTTATTATGCTTGTTGGTACTTTTCGAATGACTCATGATTGGACAAATTCTCAAAAACAAGTGATGTTCCTTTTCATATATAGTTTACAGTTTACAATTTATTTAGGATTTGTTACACACAGGAGGTCCAATCTCGCCTTGAATGAATCAACGGGTGGCGCTGATACGACGTGTTCCGGTAGGGAGTTCCAATGGTTCACAATTCGATGCGAAAAACAGATCTCAAAACGCAGACGATTCGACCGTGGTTTTTGAACCTTGAGGTGATGTCCTCGCAATTGGTTGGTGCTAGAAGGAAGAAATAAATTAGATAAATTTGCTCCAAAATCATTTCTTAGGATACGGTATGCTAGTATTAGGTCACCCCTAAGTCGTCTGTATGACAGTGGAAATAAATCCAGTCGACTTAACCTCTCTTCATATGAGAGGGTTGAGAAACCCTTTATTAGCTTAGTTCCTACTCTTTGCACCCTTTCTAATAAGTCTATTTCGTATTTGAAACACGGGCTCGCTGCCTGAATCCCATATTCCAAATGAGGTCTGATATAAGTCGGATATAATATACGAAATATTTCAGCGTCAAAATTCGCAAAAGCTTTGCGTATGGCCCATAATATTCGAAAACCCTTAGTGGCTGCAGCTCTACAGTTTGTTGCTGTTTTCAAGTCATGCTTCACAACCACTCCCAAGTCCTTGTACTCAGTGACCACTGGGAGAGTAATGCCATTCATTGAGTAATTGTGCACGTGACTATGAGATACATGCATAACTACACTCTTGCTTAAGTTAATCTCCAAGGCCCAGTGCTTACACCAATCACTTAACAAGTTTAAATCTTCCTGCAAAGCAAGCTGATCACTGTCATCGTGTAAAGCCCTCCATATCTTGATGTCATCAGCAAACAGTAAGCAGGATGACCTAACTACCGATGGAATCTTATTAACATAAATCAGGAAAAGAAGTGGGCCTAGAATTGTACCCTGAGGAACGCCACTCTTAACCGATTCCCATGTTGATAAAACCCCGTTAACTCGTACTCTTTGTCTTCTGTCCTTTAGAAAGTCTTGAATCCATTCGGCAACCACTTTATTGATTCCCATACTACCTAACTTTACTAGAAGACCTGAATGAGAAACCTTGTCAAACGCCTTGCTAAGGTCGATGAATATGGCATCCACCGGTATATTAGCATCAGCTGAGCTTGCCCAACTTTCTCTGGCCAAAAGAAGGTTGGTCAAGCAAGAATGACCTGCTCTAAAACCATGCTGTTCCACAGCGAAAAGTTTGTTCCCTTCAATGAACTGAATGATAGCATCACGAATTATTGTTTCTAGTAGTTTAACAACAATACTGGTCAAACTAACAGGACGATAGTTCTGAACTAAGTTTCTAGATCCGGTTTTGAAGACCGGACTAATGATGGCATCTTTCCAGTCTCTTGGACATTTAGACTGGTCCAGAGACATATTGAAGATTACCGACAATGGCTCGGCTATGTTTTCAGCCAATGCTGTTAATATACGTGGGTGGAGTTCATCAGGGCCACTGGACTTACCAGGATTGAGCCTTAGAAGGTACTTTAGGACAGTATCCTTTCCAATGTATAAGGGTGCCATTTTCAAGTTACCTTCTGGAAAAGTTACAAAGCTGGTATCAATATTATCAGAGAATACTTGACTAAAGTGCTTGGACAAAGCCTCAGCCTTAGTCAAGTTATCCCTAGCCATGTTTGTCTGGTCATCTTCAAGCATAAGAGGTGGGATAGCATCACTCTTACGTGTTCTTCTCTTGATATATGAGAAGAGTCTTTTTGGGCAGCCTAGTGAACTTTTAACTAACTGGGTTTCGTAAGCTATCCTTGACTGGTGAATCAAAGTTTTACACTGGTTTCTGGTTTCACAGTATTTCAGCCGGAACTGCTGTAGCCCAGTAGAAACAAAGAGATTCCAGAACCTTTTTCTCCGTCTTAGGAGTGTTATAGCTTGTCTATTTATCCATGGTGGCCCGTTTGTTGGTCTTTTAGGAACCCTCCAGGTAATGAAATCAGTGGTAACCCTCTCAAGTATATTTTTAAATCTATCCCATTCATCTTCAATGGATGAGACAATATTGACTGACCAGTCGGCAGTTGAAGCACACTCCTTTATAGAGACTATGTCAGCATGCCAAAGACTAGGTCGGGATTTGGGTTGAAAACTGACTAAATTGCCAACCCTTAAGTTAAAATCTAACACCCCATGATCACTGTTTGCTAGAGGTGGATGAATAACTAGACCATCCACGTCGTCATTGTCATGAGTAAGCACTAAGTCCAGCAAGGAAGATCCTTGGGTAGAACCGAATCTTGTACTACCTAAGACATGTTGTGTCAGGGCATTTTCCATGGTAGTCAAGAGTAACCGGCTGTCAAACTTATTAGCGGGTCCTGGAGATGTGACAGCTACCCAGTCTATATGAGGTGCATTAAAGTCACCTAGAATAAGACAGCTACTGTGTTTACTCCATTGTTTGAGGTGATCTAAAATAAAGTCATCACACTGACAAAAGGGACTTCTATACAGAACACCAATGAGTAAAGTGCCAGTTGCAAAGCTTACTTCACAGCTAACTACC